CAGACTTGTCATTGTAGTGTCAGTGTATTGTCCGTAGATGTCCGTCCCTCCCTTAATAAACCCCGTTACCTGAACTCCTGGCTGCAACTCGCCTGATTTCTGGTTCGTCGGATCCCGATGCTGACAGCTTTTGACTGAAAGTGAATCATTACTAGTGGCTGATATCAAATGTTTTTGTTTGAAGTCGGAGGTATCACCAAAGATACCGATGAAGTTATTTCTGGGTCAATTGTAGTACTGACGCAACTATTTATTTAGACAGTTATCCGGGAAGGGACGGCGGAGAATCTGTTTATGCTAGAAAACTATACATGGACATATCTAAAGGGGATTCCGCTAGATCCAAAGAGAAGTGACCCCTAGTGGCCACGCTACAGCTGAAACTGGATTTTATTAAAACTTTTCTCTCTTCATAGAACTGGTCACCTTAACCTTCTGGCAGTGGGCCAGTGGACAGAATGAAGGGCTGTCATTGTTTCCAGCAGGAAAGCTGAATAGCTCTGTATACCCCATGCAGTCTGAATTCAAAATTCTCTTCCTGACAGGAATTTTAAGTTTCAAAAATAAAGTGCTGCATTTCCTCCATGCTGCAGTAATGCTTTTCATTGATTTTTGAATTAGCGGCTATGATCCAGTTACTTGCAATATGTGAGTTTTGTACATACTGTGCTCATGGTCACCTGTCCACTGGCTGGAGTGCCCAGTGTCTGTATGCATGTAGAGCTCACTGAGGCCCCAAGACACCCTTTACCTCCAGAGGGGGCAGTGGAATGTTCCATTGGTGATACATTCATCCTTTGATCAGATTTACTCTTCTTATCCGCTGGCTCAGTGCCCTCCCTGTGAAGCTTGTTGTTATGGGTGTTTTTTGGCCTTTTTGCAAACCTTTAAAATGAACAATTTGCTAGATATACAAATAGGTGCCTATGTTCTATACATTAAAAAATATATAGATACATAAATACACATTTATAAGTGTATGTATCAAGCATAACATGTATTTAGGCAAAAATAATTTGTTACTTGCAAAATAAGTTACCTTTAATACATTATATTTTCTATTCAATATTTCAGTGAATGCAATACATTTGTTAGATTTTCTCTTGAAATGTAACATTTGTAATTCATTAGATATTTTTGTAGTGTGTTTATATCTCACAAATCTTTAACTTCTATCTTATCTATATGTTTTATGTATGGTGGGTGTTTCTCAGTCAGAAATGTTCTCCACACACAGTTCAGCACCACAGCAGAATAATCACATGGTTTGTTAAAGACTCTGACGTATATTGATTAAACTGATTAAAATCCTGAATATGTGCACACTGTTTGTATTAATACTCGCTTCTCCTGCAGAGTCTCTATCTCTTCATTTGTACCTCAGCAGTGCTGACCGCACCATGTTGACCGGCAGCTCATTTTCCTGGCATCTCAGCAGCCCTCTAGATTCATGGAAGGCGCAGTGGACGACTTGCACTATGTTGCTCCTGCATGGTTGCACTGTGATGTTGGTCATGTGACTGGGGCTATGACAGTGGTGCATGAACACCAGGATGACAGGTTTGTCTTCTGTGGAAGAGAGAAACCAAACAGGTTACTGTGGGCACTGATAGATGCTGTTGCTTCCCCTCATGGTTTTTTACATCTTAAATAAGGTGAGAACAAAGAAAAGCTGTGAGGTTTGCTTCCTAGGATTGGCTCTTGGCTCAGTATTAACCTGAAGTATACAAGTGGCCATCAAAGGATGGATGGAAAAGTTATAAAAGCCAAGGTCCTTTAAAATAAGGAAATTTGTTACACATATTCAGAGTCCAGGCTGACCTGCATGTCTGTAAAAGATTTGGTAAGAAACAAATAATGATGATTCAGATTCAATGCTGTTTTAATACTGTATGTACAGTGTTGTAGAGGCACCACACATTGCAGAACTGTGTCAGACTTTGCTGTGACTGTCAGTACCAGAGTAAAACAAAATATAGCTCCCTGGACCCGGAACTGGATGAGAATGGATGGATGGATAATCACATAGACCTGTGCTGTCATTACACACAAAATAAACAGTCAGGTTCATTTTGAAGTTAAATTCCATTTAATTTCCATTTGGTCACCACACCGCAAATATCCAGCCAAATTTAAATTTTTCGTTTAGTTCCCTCCAAGCGAGCTCAATGGACCAAATGGCCTCCTCTCGTTTGTAACTTTCTTATGTTCTTTGATTCCATCCATCCCTCATCTTTACCTGCTTGTCTTATGCAGGGTTACGGGGGTCCAGAGCCTTTCCTGGAAGCTATGGGTGCAAAGAATAACTCAACATGGGGCACCAACCCATCACAGGGCACACAGACCATTCGGCTCAGATTCACACCTATAGACAGTTTGGCAGCTCCTATTCATCTTAGCATGTTTTTGGAATGTGAGGGGGAACAAGAGAACCTGAAGGAAACCCCACAATTACATGGGAAGAACACGCAAACCTTTTCTCACTGTCAAATGCAGATCAAGAGCACAGACAAGGACAAACGGGTGTGGGGCTACAGTGTGAGCGACTGTCACTGTGCTGCCCCATTGTCTGAATCCATTATACAGTATATAAAATTGTGAGGAAGTCATATTATTTAAAAATTTAGAATCAGTTTATATTGATTAATTGTATCAACCAGATTACCTGCCAGTCAAAAGAAAATCCATGATGAACCAAAAATTGTGAATATGTGCACACAGGTAGTGTGTGTATACGTGCTCTGTGATGGATTGGCACCCCATCCTGGGTTATTCCCTTCCTTGTGCCCGTAGCTTCTGGGATAGGCTGCGGACCCCCAGCGACCCGACATAGGAGAAGCAGGCATAGAAAATGGATGGAGGGATGGAAATAAAAAATCGGGAAATGTGTCCGATTTGTTCGATAGCCTTGACAGGCTGACAGGTTAATTGAAAAAAAACTTGCCAGATATGGATGGTTTGTCGTCCTGTGTTTGTTTTAACAGGACAACTTCTGATATGCACCTTCTGTTAAATAAATCACCATTTACTTTGTGAAGAGATGAACTACGTAATATCTGTAATGTTTTTTTTTTTGGATTTCAGGGCAAAGGTGACATACAGCAGAGACTGAATCCTGACTCACCTGTAACTCTGGCCATTGCTGCCTTCATGTCTGTCCCAATCCGAGAAACAACAGGACAGAAGACCAGGATGACATTGCTGTTCTCTGCACTGCAGAGCTCTGTCTGTAGCTTCAGCTTTTGTATGAAGGTTTCATGGGTATTGAAAGTTTCTCCGGCAACCAGAATCTGGATTTTCACTGGGGAAGAGAGATGGAACAGAAAATATAGATGAAAAGTGACAGAAAAAAAACTGTGAAGTACATGGACAGCTTACCTAAAGAAGTGTACATCATCTTCTTAGGGCTTGGGTTAAACTGGGAGGACACTTCAGGCGAAGAAACCGCTGACGTTTCTGGAAGGGATGCAGGAAGAGAGGGATTAGAATCCTGAAAATGGAAAAGAGTGTAAGGACATGTATAAAGGGGATTCCACTATGTCATTTTAAGTAAGGAAATGTAATACACATATTCAGAGCCCCTCCTTGGATTGCCACCTTATCGTGGTGGAGGGGTGTGCGTGCGTCAGTGACCCTGGGGGCTATGTTGTCGGGGGCAATAGCCCCTGGTAGGGTCTCCCAAGGCAAAAAGGTCCCAGGGGAGGGGCCAGACAAAGAGCAATCCAAAAGAACCCCATGATAAAGTATCCAAACGAAGTCCCGTTTCCTTCACCCGGACTAAGGTCACCGGAGCCCGACCCTGGAGCCAGACCTGGTGGCTGTGCCTTGGCCCGTGGGGCCCGGCCGGGCACAGCCCGAAAGAGGCACGCGGGACTGTCCCCAGGTGGGCCCACTACCCGCAAGGGGAATGTCAGCGGTTCGGTGCTTTGTGGATCGGGTGGCGGCCAAGGGAGGCCCTGGTGGTCCGATCCCCAGCTGACAAAACTGGCTTTCGGGACATGGAATGTCACCTCTCCGGTGGGGAAGGAGCCTGAGCTTGTGCGTGAGGTTGAGAGGTATCGACTAGATATAGTCGCACTCGCCTCAACGCATAGCTTGGGTTCTGGAACCAATCTCCTGGAGAGGGGCTGGACGCTCTTTTATTCTGGAGTTGTGGCAGGTGAGCGACGCCGGGCTGGGGTGGGGCTACTGGTGGCCCCACAGCTCAGTGCATTAACAACAGAGTTTACCCCGGCGAACGAGAGGGCTGTTTCCCTGCGCCTTCGGGTCGGGGATAGGTCTCTGACTGTCATCTGCGCTTATGCGCCAAATGTCAGTTCAGAGTACCCGGCCTTCTTGGATACCCTTAGCGGTATGCTGGTTGGCGTGCCGCGGGGGGAATCCATCGTTTTGCTGGGGGACTTCAACGCTCACGTGGGCTATGACAGTGTGACCTGGAGGGGGGTGATTGGGAGGAACGGCCTCCCTGATCTGAACCCGAGTGGTGTTCTGTTATTGGACTTCTGTGCAATGCATGGTTTGTCCATAACGAACACCATGTTCGAGCATAAGGGTGTCCATAAGTGGACAGGGTACGAACATGCCTGGGGCTACAGGTCGATGATCGATTTCATAATTGATCTGCGGCCTTTCGTCTTGGACACTCGGGTAAAGAGAGGGGTAGAGCTGTCAACTGATCACCACCTGGTGATGAGTTGGCTCAGGTGGTGGGGGAGGAAGCCGGTCAGACCTGGTAAGCCCAAGCACATAGTGAGGGTCTGCTGGGAACATCTGGCAGAGTCTCTCCTGTTCGTCAGAGCTTTAACTTTAATTTTTAATTCCAACTGCATACTGGGGGAGGTTGGGGACATTGAGTCTGAATGGACACTGCTCCTGACCTCCATTGTGGAAGCGGCCGTACGGAGCTGTGGCTGCAGGGTGGTTGGTGCCAGTCGTGGCGGTAACCCCCGTACCCTATGGTGGACACCAGAGGTGAGGGGGGCCGTCAAGCTGAAGAAGGAGGCTTACCGGGAATTATTAGCCTGGGGGTCTCCAGAAGCAGCTGACGGGTACCGGCAGGCCAGGCGGAATGTGGCTCGGGCGGTCGCAGAAGCAAAAACCCAGGCGTGGGAGAAGTTCGGTGAGGCCATGGAAAGTGACTTTCGGTCGGCCTCAAAAAGGTTCTGGCAAACCATCCGGA